TAGGCAGATTTTTACTACCTCAAAATCCATGGTTGTTCATCTTCATTTGGTGAAGCGGTGTGTGATAGGACTTGGCCTTGGGGCATCCTCCCAGGGAGGAGAGTGTGGTCAGGAGGAGGTGGAGGTGGCATCCTATAAGGGCCATCAGGGGAATCACATGAGAGGGATCAAGTACTCATGCAGGTGAGACCAAAAATATGAGGGTGAAAAGCTAGCCTGAGCCTGCAGGGGTGACCAGAGATCACAGACCACAGCCAGGCCCGAGGGGGGGGAACAGCGTTCTGAAGCACCTGTATCAAAACACTGAGTCTCCTCAGCCACACTGAGCCTCTCTTGCGGGTGATTCCACCCAGAGATGAGCTTAAAGACACGATTTGTTAAGACCCCGAACACAGAAAAAGATAAGGCCAAAATGACCTAACATCTGCTAAATCGTTTTTTCAAATTTTCAATAGAGACAAAGTTAAACATGAGGATGAAGTCTCCTTCTATTGAAACTAAAAAAATAAAATAAAATAAATTTTTTTGTATCAGGATTCATTCATTCAGAAAAACTGACAGGGTGGAATGTGATGGACATCACTATCCAAAGTACATGTATGAAGACACGAATTGGGTGTCAACATACTTTATATACAGAGATATGAAAAACTGTGGTATATATGTGTAACAAGAATTGTCATGCAAAAAACAAAATACATGTATAAAGACATGATTTGGTGTGAACATACTTTATATTATATACAAAAATATGAAAAATTGTGTTCTATATGTGTAATAAGAATTGTAATGCACTCTGCTGTCATGTATTTAAAAAAATAAAATCCATTAAAAGAAAAAAGAAACACTGACAGAAAAACACTCCAGGTATTTCAAACAGATGGAATTTCATTTAGGGAATTTTTACAAACATGTCAGGAAATCTGAAAGAGCAAAAGAAAAGAAAAGGGGTGGGGGTGCTGGAGAAACCAAAAGAAATTAATTGATTTGAATGAAACAATTTGAATTTGAGTATTCTCATTGACTTGAGTTAATCTGAATAAGCTCTCCACTCTGTCCTCTTGGACTGTGGCCTTCCTGACCGGTCCTCTCTGCTCCCCAAGCGCCTTCTCTGGGAGTGGGTGTCAGAGGGAAATGCAGAAAGGTGCATGCTAACCTTTCCCTGGACCTTCCCCACAGCCTTTTCCTGCTCTAACTTAGGAAGGCCGAGCTAGCAAGGTATAAATATGGACCCCTTGAAAAGAGCTACCCTTGCCCTTGACCTTCCTCATCTCTTCACTTTACTGTGTGCTCCAAATTCACCCAAGTAGAGCCATTAGGGTTTAAAATACACACTTAGAAAGCTAATGCCAGCTCTGCAGGAAAGAGGGGTCCGCTGTCCACTTGGAGCTTCCTGACGTTTAATCCAATGTTCGATTCAGGTTAGATAATACATGCCAAGGACAAGGTCCTAAGTCCCAAAATGGTGTCACTGGACTAAAATCAAAGTGTGGATAGGCTGTGCTCCTTTATGAAGGGTTCAGGGACAAAGGATTTCCACACTTTCACCAGCTCTGGAGATTGCTCACATTCCAGGCTTGGGCCCCCTTTCTCCATCTTTTTAGCTGCCACAGCAGGTGAGCCCCTCTCTGCATTTCTCTGGCTTTTCTTCTCAAGTCTTAGCATCACTCAGATCTCCCCTGAGCGCAGCCTGGAAGGTTCTGGTCGTGGTCATGAGATTAGACTGGGCCCCACCTCAAGGTCTGGACCTTTCATCATCTGCAAGTGAGTCTGACACTCAGATTCAGGAGGAGGACCTGAGCGGTTACTCTACTACTTTCTCCCAATTCTTATCACCCCAAAGTCACTGCCTGCGACAAAAGATTTCCTAAAATCCTTCTTCCAAAAGCTTCAGCCGTTTTGCATCTTTCTCTTAATGTCTCTGGAAAAACATTCCGGGTCCCAACCTCGAGCCTCTTCCTCCTGGGAAGGGGAGAGAACCCGCCACCAAGTCAAAACCGTCTAGTGGCCAGGCGGGGACTCAATGCGGCCCTCACGCTGACCTTTGTGGACAGAGGCGGGGAGATCCGCACTTTGTTCCTCCAGGGGCTCCGAGGTGGCCCCGTGCGGCGGGGACCCACTGAGGCGTCCATCCTTGGAAGCCTCCCCGCAACCATCAGGGACACGAGTGCTCCTTCTCAGCTTTTGTCCCCTGCGAGGCCGCGTCCCTCGCAGCTCTGTGGGCTGCGACAAGCTTGTCCTGCAGCGGGGCCACCAGGATTTCCCGGTGTCGGTGCCAGGTGTCCCCGTCGCCGGCTCCCCCTGCCGCCCCAGCCCCGCTCTCCACGTAGGGTTCCTCAGCTGTCCTGCACCTCCGCCCTCGCCCTCTCAGTAACCGGTGCCCGGTGCCCGCTGTCACCGCCCCCTCTGCGTCTCCATGGCGCTGGGCGACGCTAGGAGCCGCCGTGCCAGAGCGGGCCCGCCGAGGTCGCCCGGGCCCCCAAACCGTGTGGCCCAGGTTAAAAGCTCGCGACAAGGCTGCCACAGGGCTGGGACCTGGTGTGTTCCGAGGTTGTGCACCCGGCACCGCCTCATCCCCGCGGGGGCCACCGCTTCTCCCTGTAGGAACGTCCAGGCCCCGGACTGTGCGCCGCCCCAGGGCGCTTTGTGGGCTCCAGGTGGGTAGCTTGGCTTTTCTCGGAAACGCATGTAAATTGCTGTGTGCTCGGAGAAGACCATAAAGGGGCCACTCCTGTCCTCCTCCTTGCTCCCTGGGACTCCGAGGTGGAGTCAGCAACTGTCCAAGCTGGGTGAGCAGGGGGCTCAGAGCTGGGTCTGCCCCGCATCCCTGGAGACCAAGGGCAGCCCTCCTGACCCCCCTCATCCCCTCAGCTTCCCGCCTCCACTGTCCCATTTCCAGGCCGCTGGGGGTGGGGGAGAGTCACCTTCAGATAAGTAAAGCCCAGCACAGGGGAGGCACACACATCTGGACCTTCAGTAACTATTCTGTAAGGAACCAACCCATCCATGGTGGCTTTGAAGAGCCCCAGTCTTTGTTCACCTGGCCCACATTTACTGTATATAGAAATGACATAAAAAAACTTCTCATGACAAAATATTATGCTGTCTTAACAGAGCATTTACAGAATCTATGTGTGTAGTTTATAAGAGAAGGTTGGTGACATTTTGATGTTGGTCTATAAAAATTATAATTTTTCCCTTATGTATGTGTCTCTGTGTTCTGCTGGATCGTTCTTTCTTTCCAGAATGCTTTTCACTCATGTTGGAATCATTTGTTATGCAGCAATAAGATACTAATACCAATGAGGTCTAATTTGAAATTGTGAACTAATCCAGCTAATAGCTCACACAGCACCTACAGATGTTGACTGGATTTCTCCTGAAAATTTAAAATCTCCCATAGTGCCCTTAAGTGTGTTGCAGTGCCTCTGAGCACCTCAACATACAGTTTGGGAATTGTGGTTCTAAAGCACAAAGCAAAAAGGATTGATTCCTCAAGAAGATTTATCAATTCTAAATTTATAGGTACCTAATAACATAGCCTTAGAATATATAAAACAAAATTGGCAGAAGTAGAAAAATTTATATTCATATCCCTCTCTCATTAACTGATAGAATACTCGTATAAAATTAATCCCAGCAGTTCGGGAGGCGGAGGCAGGAGGATCATGAGTTCAAAGCCAGCCTCAGCAAAAGCAAGGCACTAAACAACTCAGTGAGACCCTGTCACTAATTAAAATACAAGATAGGGCTGGGGGTGTGGCTTAGTGGTCAGTGCTCCTGAGTTCAATACCCCCCCACTATCTCTCTCCCCCAAAATAAAGACAAATGTAATGGGAAACCATTAGACAGATTTGATTTATATTTCAAAAACATTATTCTGGCCCCGGGTAGAGAACATTATTCAGACCCACTGCAGGCAAGAGAACTGTTGCGGTTGCACAGTAGAAAAGTGATCGTGAGATCGCAGAGCCAGGTTCCTTTTGACATTTACTTTGCTCAATAACCCCATTTCTTTCCAGTTTCTTTAGCTCCACCAGGTCTAGACTCAAGAGCCCTTTCGATGTAAGACAACTTTGGACAATCTCTCTCTAGAAACCTTTTTATAGGGGAAAACTACAATAATTTCTGAAAACCTTTGTCCATGTGAATGCAGATCAGAGGGCTCACCGTTACCTTTAGCTATCATATGTAGGGACCTTTCAGAGCTGGCTGATTTAAGAAACAAAATCAGTATTAATTGGGTGGTTTTGTATGACTAACAGAATAATAATAACATCAACAATGTAGTTTATTGGGGTATTTCCAGTGTGTGCCAGGCATTGTATAAAGTGCTTTATAAATTTACTTAATCTATACAACAATCATATTTCATTTGACAGTAGGCTTCATAACTCACCTAAAGCCAGTGAGTCTAGTGGTAGAGACAACACTAGACTACTTGCCTTCAAAGTCCGCATTCTTAAGCACTTTGATATTTATCATGCCTGGCAAGACTTGTGCCATTTTGAAATCAGTGTGTCCCTGGTAATACTTGGTACCCAGCGTTAGTGTTAATTGCTTTCCCTTCTATCTGAGTCCATGGGTGCTGCCCCCATTTTAAAGAATCCTAAAGAAAGAAGACGGATCCGTAAACATGGAAATTGGAAATTGAACAGTTCCTTTCTGCACTCTCTATCTTGACTCCCCAGCCCCATTTAAGATAAGCAAAACACTCTAATAAGATTTTCACAGAAGAGTGTGCAGCAATATTTGTCCCCATTTAGAGGGAGGAGGTGAGGCCGGGGATGTGGTTCAATGGTAGAGGCTTGCTTGTGTGAGGTGTGAAGTTCAATCTCTAGCTGCAAAAAAAAAAAAAAATAGAAAAGAAGGAAGGAAGGAAGGTTGGTTGCTCCTAGAGGGAGAGACAAGTTCTATACTTTGAAAAAGACACCTGTATGTTGGGTTTCAGGACAAGTGACTGTTTTCAGAATCCAAGTGGAATCTCACACTACAAAACAATGCCAAGAGCTAAGGAAGGGAAACGCAAAACCAAAGGGGCTTCCCTTCCCATTGTCCCAATTCTTCAAAAGTTCCTGAAAACCTATGAGAAGCACTGCTCGCAGTCTCAGACGTCTGTGTGCCCAGCCATCAGAAGGGACCTGAACAGCAGCATTGACAGTGAACAGAGCCTCAGGAAGGTGAGCAGGGGCCGTCTGTCTTTAGTCTTCTCTAAAACAGACTGACTGGGGGTCACGCCTCCAGGAACAAGGGTCCTCAGTCACCCCCTCTGCATTCCTGACCCAATGAAGTTCAAAGCCTTGATCATGGCCAGGGATCAAGGGCCTGCTCAGCCGAGCTCCTCTCCTACCTCTTGCTCCTGCGGCAGCACCTGTCCCCAGCGGGCCTGCCTTTTCTCACCCCACTTCTCACCTGGAGTGACCACCGGGCTCCTCTCCCCACTCCACCTCTGGAAGGTCCAGTTCCAGAGCTTCCCTCATCATCACAGTACCTCCCCTCCTAGCACACCAGCCACATGCCCCGGCCCTCCAAGTGAACGTCTCCCTGCCGTGGCCAACCCTGTGGCCCTGTCTTCAAGCCAGACTCCCGCTCACCCACCTTCCTTGTGAGGCCCATCTCACGTGCGGTGAGCTCTGCTTTTCGGGGGGGGGGGGAGTCCTGATGTCATGCCTTTTCTGAGATTAAATATAGGGCTTGAATGTGAGGGGGACAGGAGAGACGAGGTCACCACCAAAATAAAACAAGTACCTCATGGGAAAGGGTCAGGTGATAGACCAGATGGGGTGCCTCGTGCCCCAAAGACAGCCTCGCTACTCCTCCATCACCAGCCCAGAACGGTGGTCCATGTTCTGATAATCAGAGATGGCAGATTTCCTAGAATGTGGAGTGCCAAACAAGACACCAGGTCAAGCAAGATTATTAGAGATGGGAGCTTTGAAATAGAAGATCATTATTCTAAGGCTACTTTGGGCTGAATCCATCCCATCATGTTCTCCCTGAATGTGTTTTGGGGCAGGAAGATGATTCCACTGCACCTCACAACAGAAGAACCCATGTTCCTCTCTAACCTTCCCTCTTCACCCCCAGGCTTCTGCCCTTATCCCCCTCTTCTTCCCCCCTCCCCTCCCACCCCATCTGCCCTCCACATCTTACACACACAAACATCTTCTTGTTCATCCTGATGGAAAATCTTCCCACGGCTATTCTTTTTGTGGTAAGCTAATTACTAGTCAATATTTTCTACTGTAGTTCTTGCACTTGGCCTCTACTACTTAATGATAAGGATTAATCATAAATCTTGCTCAAATGAGTCCTCTCAGCGATGATTTCCAATTGTTTTTATTACAATCACCAAAAAAAGTGCAATTAGCATTCCAAACCCAGTAAATAAGCACCAGAGAGCATCAGTACGACCATAAGGGCTGTTGACGCTGTTGACTTGGATGGGCTGCCTAGGGAGGGCCTCCATTATAATTCTGAATAGCATTAAAATAAAAGCCTCATGAGACAATCATTATTTTTGCTCCATAAGATGTACTCAGATAATTTCCAGTTTTTTCTATTTTATTAAAGAGGAGAAAAGAAAAATTGGTTGAATCCTACTAAATTGATTTTCTGACCCAATAGCAGGGGAAAAAAAAAAAAAAGTCTCTGCCCTAAAGTCCACTGAGCTTTGCACGAGGCAGGAACTTTGTAAATTGGCGCTGGAGTACTGCCAATGTGCACCTGGCCCACAGTTAATAATATTCTAAAAGCTATTCCGACGTTGTCTAATGACAATATTCCTTTTCCACACACACTGATGCCCACCTGTAGCTTTTTCTTATGCTCCAGTTTACACTTGTGAGACCTGACAACTCCCCTCCAAGCATCCTACCAGTGTCCTTGGAACCTTTGCTCCTGACCATTCGAGATGAGCGCTACGTGCTGGGGAAAGAGATCTGCATCTGGGGCCTTCAGCTGAGCAACCCCGAGATCGCCAGGCTTGTGAGTCATGGTTTTAAAAATGTTTCTTCAGGGGGCTGGGTATATAGCTCAGTTGGTAGAGCGCTTGCCTCACATGCTATAAGGTCCTGGGTTCAATCCCCAGCACACACACACACACAAAAAGTTCCTTCAGGGTTGGGGCTGTAGCTCAGTGGCAGAGCTTACCTTGCATGTGTGAGGCACCAAGTTCGATCCTCAGCACCACATAAAGATAAATAAACAAAATAAAGATATTGTAAAAACTAAAATAATATTTGAAAAAAAGACTTTGGATGTGTTCTAGGCTTACCTTAAAAAAAAATGTTCCTTCAAACTTTAAAATTGTATATAAGCGTTTAACATCATATATTCCAGCCCTAGTTTATTTGGCTATTGATAGACATGTTGAAAGGTTTTCTTTTCTTTTCTTTTTTTATCACTACATTTTTAGTAAAACATTTCAAATATATAAAAATGGAGAGAATAATAGAACTCACATCTGTAGACTCACCTCTCACACATAATCTACTTTTGGCGGGGGGGGGGGTACTGGTAATTGAACGTGGAGGCATTTTACCACTGAACCAATCCTCAGCCTTTGTTCTTTCACTTTTTTATTAATTATTTTTTATTTTTGATATAGGGTCTCACTACCTTGCTTAAGGCCTTGCTAAATTGCTAAGGCGGGTCTTGAACTGCGATCCTCTTGCCTCAGTCTCCCAGGTTGCCGGGATTACAGGTGTGAGCCACCACATCCGACATAATACGCTTTTTTAAGGGATAAAATTGTAGATATTTACCAATATAACAGCTTTAGCCTCATTTCACTTCTTTTCTCAATCTACTTCCCAGAGGTACCACCAGCCTAAGTTGATGTGTACTGACCCCTTGCATATTTTATGCTTTTATTATTTATGTTCCTGTGAGCTTAATTGTATAAATGGAATTGTACGATGTATGATATTGTGACTTACCTTTCTCATTCACATTATATTGTCAAGATTTCTCCACACTCATTACTTTCAAGTGCTGTCATATCCTATATCACATATACAATTACAGATTAACTGTTTTTTAAAATTGAACTTCCATTATTGCTGAAGAGAAGGACTTCACTTCTGGAACAGGCAAATAATTCAGACCAATTCTTTCGCTGACAACAGCAACATAAGCTAAAATGTGGAAAACACATACACACACACACACTACCAATGACCTAATGGAAGGTGGAGACCCAGGGAAGAGAACATTACAATTATCCCTGGAGCTGTCTGGTTTAAAAGAAGGCAGTTGAGAAACAGAAAAGTTGAACAGTGCTTTTGGCAATCTTGCCAACGCTAGGAAACACTGGCTTTCTGAGGAGACCCTAGTGGACTTTCCCTTGCTCTGGGCTGAGACTGAAAAGGGCCGCAACCTAGGAACACAACTGAACCACACACAGAGAGGTCCTCAGGGACCACAGATTATTTTCTGATCATCTCAAGTTTTAATGTTAAGTTGAGGGATCCTAGATTGCTGGTGCCCCATGGATCAGGAGCAAATGAAAATATTCCTTGGAAGACAATTACAACATCATATGCCTCCAATTATATCTGTAAACAATTTTGTAAAGAATAAAATCCAGTATGCAAAAAAAGAAAAAAACTGTGTGGGGAGACAAAATGGCATGAAGAAAAGATACACAGGCTGTAGAAACAATGACTCTGTAAATAGCCCACAAGGACTCAAATATTTGGATTATCAGACATGTACTTTTAAAGATCTATGTAAGCACAGCTGGGCTTGGTGGCGCACACCTCTAATCCCAGCGGCTCAGGAGGCTGAGACAGGAGGATCTTGAGTTCAAAGGCAGCCTTAGCAAAAGCAAGATGCTAAGCAACTCAGTGAGACTCTGTCTCTAAATAAAATACAAAATAGGGCTGGGGATGTGGCTCAGTGGCCAGGAGTCCCTGAGTTCAATCCCTGGAACACTCTCCCCTCCCCACCAAAAAAAAAAAAAAAAGATCTATGTTTACAGTGTTCAAAGAAATATGAGACAAAAACACACACACACACACACACACAAAAAAAAAAACCCAAGATTTTGCAAAAATTAGGGGAAAAAAAGAACTAGATGGACATTCTATATAGTAATAGAAATTAAAACTTCAACAAATGGGTTTAACAGCATTTTAAACAAATTTAGAGTGATAATTAGTAAAAATGATGTGGCCAGAAGAAAATATGTGATATGTGTAGTGAAGCATGAAATAACAGAAGATAGAAGAGAAGAGACCTCTTGTAGGTAAGTGAGGTAGTCAACATATGTATCACTGGAGTCCCAATACGAGAAGAGAATAGAGTGGGATAAAAGCAATACTTGAAACGATAATAGCTAAGAACTTTCTCACACTGGTGAAAGACATTACCTCATATTCAAGCAGAGCTATGAATCCCAAACAAGTTAAATACAAAGAGAACTTAAAAACACCATATTGAAACTACTGAAGAAGAGAAAAATCTTACAATTGATCAATGGAAAACACACTGGAGACAGAACCTGATTTTATGTTGCTCAACTTATAATTTTTTGACTTTATGGTGGAAAGTCATTCAGCACTTTATTATAAAATGAGCTTTATGTTGGATGATCTTGCCCCACTGAAGGCTAACATAAGTGTTCTGGGCATGTTTAAGATGGGTCAGGCTAAACTCTGAAGTTTGGTACCTTGGGTATATTAAGTGCATCTACTCTTAGCATTGTAAGTTGAGATGCATTTTATACATCCAGGACATAACCCCATCATAAGTCAAGGAGCACCTGTACCTTTAAAGGAGCAGTAATAAAACTGACACCTGCCAAGTCCATTATATGCAGGTATAGAAACGTTACAGTCAACACCATTGATTTTTTAAAAATTAATGTTGAGTTAATTATAATAATAAAAAATTGACATCTGACTTCAACAGAAACCAAGGAAGCCACTCACCAGTAGAAAATCTGAGAATTCTACACCCAAAAAAGTATTCAAAAATGAAAGTGAAAAAAAAAAAAAGGATCTTACCAGACCCACAGAGACTGGGAGAATTTGTCACCAGCCTATCTTCCCATGGGAAATACAAAAACATATCCTCCAGACAGAAGCAAATGATCCCCGATGGAAGGCTGGCAACTCAGCAAGAATCAAAGAGCCACAAAAAAATGATTTCCTTCTAGAACTTGAAAAGGTGATCATAAATTTTATAGAGAGATGTAAATAGCCAAGCATAAGTAAGACAATCTTGGACAGGAAAATCACAGCAGGAGAATTTGCTCTAACAGACATCAAGGCTTATTATAAAGCTACATAAATTAAGACAGTATAATATTGCTGCAAGGATAGATAAGTAAACCAATATAGAAGAAACAGACCACACCTATGTGGACATTTTGATTCTTGACAAAGATTACCATACAGAGTAGTAGGGAAAAGATGGTCTTTTCAACCAACCATGCTGAGACAATTAAGTATTATTATGGGCCTAAAGAAACTTGATCCCTTCTTCACATCATCCCCCAAATAATTCTGGGAAGATTATAGACCAAAAGGCAAGACAATAAAGTTTCTAGATGATATACATCAACAGGACATTACAGTGCAGAAAATATTTTAAACAGAACACAAAAAGAGCCATAAAAGAAAAGATTGATAAGATGGACTCCATTAGAAGTAACAGCTTCTATCCAACAAGAATCACCAGCAAGAGTGAAAAGGTGGGCCATGGAGCTGGCAAAGATTTTTGCTATCTGTATAACCAAAAAGGATCCATATGCAAGACACCTAAGTAACTCCCACACATTTTTTAGTAAAAGTCAAACAAACTAATAGAAAAGTGATCAGGAAACTTGAATAAGAACTTCACCGAAGTTATCAAAGAGCCAATAAATATATGAAGAGGTGCTCAACTTCATTAGGATTAAGGAGAATGCAAATTAAAAATATGAAGAGATATCTCTATGCAGCCACAGGAGTAGTGAAAATAAGTGTTTGTTAATAAGTGTCAGAGAGGATGTAGAGCAACTGAAATTTTTATACCCTGTGGTAGGAGTTTAAGTTGGTACAAATCATTTTGGAAAACTGTTACAGTATCTACTGATTCCAAAGCAATTCTATTATGTAAGTTCATATCCACCATAAATATATATATACACAGGTACTAGGAGACATATAGGAAAATATTCATGTCTATCAATTGTAGAATGGACAAATTATGTTATATTCATATGGTAGAACACCAAAGAGCAATGAATTGAATGAAGTACAACTATGAAAAATAAAATATGACAACTATCACACACATAATGTGAAAATGGAGAGAGTCACAAACAAATGTACATTTCTTTCTTGCATCTATATAAAGTTCAAAAAACATACCTAAATCTATGTTGTTTACAGAACTGTGACCAAGGACAGCCTAACAGAGAGCACTAGTGGGCCATTTTTTCTAATTAGTGGGGTTTTTTTTTTTTTTTTTTTTTTAGTTGTTGATGGACTTTATTGTCTTTATTTTTATGTGGTGCTGAGGATCGAACCCAGTGCCTCACGCATGCTAGGCGAGCATGCTACCACTGAGCCCAAGCCCAGCCCCTAACTGGTGGTTCTTTAAAAGTGTCTTTTATTATCATATGATCCAGCAATTACACTTCTGAGTACATATACAAAAAATTGAAAGCAGAGCTGGTCTTAAAGAGATATTTGAACACCCATATTCATGGCAGCATTATTTGCAACAGCCAAAGATAGAAGCAACTCAAGTACCCTTGACAGGTGAATAAATAAGCAAAATATACAATAGACTATTATGCAGACTTAAAGAGGAAGGAATTGATTCTTGAATAGATTCTTCAAAGAAGCTATATGGCCAATTACACATGAAAGGATGTTCAACATCACTAATCACTAAGGAATGCAAGTAAAAACTATAATGTCATACCACCTCACACCAATTAGGAAGACTACTATCAAGAAGCAGAAAACTGTAAGTGTTGGCAAGGATGTGGAAAAATTGGAAGCCTCACTACAGCATGGAATAAACTTTGAGAACATTATGTTAAGTGATATGAGCCAGTCAAAAAAGAACAAGTACTATATGATTCCACTTATATAAGGCACCTAGGGTAATCAAATTCATAGACAGAATATAGAACAAGGGCAGGGAATGGGTGGAGAGGGGACCGGAAAGTCTTGCTTAACTGTCACAGAGTTTCAGTTTTGCAAGATGAAAGGAGTTCTGGAGAGGGATAGCGGTGATGGTTGCACAATAATGAGAATACACCTGAGACCCCTGAACTCTCTACTCAAAATGATCACAATGTCAATGTTATTTGTGTGTGTTTATTTTGTCATGGTTAAAAAAAAATAAATTTTAAAAGATATCTTAAATATGTAACCAGCGCCGGGCATAGTGGCGCACGCCTGTAATCCCAGTGGCTTGGCAGGCTAAAGCAGGAGAATTGCGAGTTCAAAGCCAGCCTCAGTAACATCGAGGGGCTAAGCAACTCAGTGAGACCTTGTCTCTAAATAAAATACAAAATAAGGCTCAGGATGTGGCTCAGTGGTTGAGTGCCCCTGACTTCAATCCCCAGTATCCAAAAAAAAAAAAGTAAGAAGCATTTTTAGTTGCTTTTATTCGAAGAGTCAGTCAGGGTAGCCAGTCCAGTGGAGCCAGAACTAGAGGCTGCTCATGCATGTGTGATGTGATCTTTCACAGATCCTTCCAATGTGGCCCTCTTGCACATCTGGAGGTTGCTAAGGGATCTGTGCTGGAGACAAACATTGCTGGTGCCCAGGGTGTGACACCACCAATCTCTGGTTGGGAGTGGTGGGACCTGGTCAAGAGCCTGTTTAGCATGGACACTGACGTGACGTGCCACATGGTCTCCTCTGTCAAACACAGCTGGAGAAACCCAATCCAGCATTCAAACTGGCATCTCTCATTACAGAGGCCTCAGGTATCTGCCCTGTTGTTAAGGTTACAAGTGCCTTTTTATTCCCAGCCAAGGTATAATTTGGAATCCTATATACAACCAACATGTCATTACCTCGAAGAACCCTAAATCTTCCAAATCCCACCAAGGCCTCTTCTAGGCTTAAATTCTGAGCCAAAGGAATCCTTAGACTGTGGTGCTTCTAATTGCTGAAAAGTGACTTTGTGACATTCTCATAATTTATAATTTTATGTAGCCTCTCCTTTCAGTTATATAGGGATTTAACTGTCACTTATATCCTCGGTTACTGATAGAAATGGCCTTGCCATAGATACTGGGGCATGTAGGGTGGGAGTGGCATTCCAAGTGCTTATGTGCTGTCCCCAGTCCGGGTTCTTCAGTAGTAAAAGCATCCAGAGGCTGAATTCGCACAGTCCAGTTCTGAGTGGACCTCCATACCCTAAGAATACCATGACTATGAATGACAAATAATTTATTATAAAGTTTTTGTTGAATTATAAGAGCGGCATATCTGTGTCTCTCTACTTAAAAGCACACAACCATAGGAAGATACATTTGCTGATTAGAAAGTCAACATCTTAGTCTGCTGGGTTGTCATAATGAAGTATTATAGGCTGGGTGGCTTAAGCCACAGAAAGTCGTATCTCACACTTCTGGAGGTGGGAGCCTGAGACAGAGGCGTCGGTAGGGTTGATTTCCTGAGGCCAACAAGAACAACTTAAAGGAGAAAAAGTTTATTTTGGATTACATGGATCACATGGTCAGCCAACTCCATAGCTCCGGGTCCAAGGTGAGACAGAACATCATGGCGGAAAGGTATGGTGAAGGAAGGTTGCTCAGGACAGAGCAGCCAGGCAAAGCTTGCAGTCGGCTCTCTTCTTCCTAAGTTTTCTCATGGTCTTCACTATGGACATTTGTGTCCAAATTTCCTTCTTTTATAAGGACACCAGTCATATTGGGCTACAGCTTATCCCATGATCTCATTTTAACTCAATTACCTCTTTACATACTCCATCTCCAAATGCAGTCATGTTCTGAGGTACTGGGGGCACATAATTCAGCCCCTAATAACATCGAAAATCAAATCCTGAAATACATCTTGCCTCATCATAAAGCTTAGAGTTTCTCGTATAATTCTTCAATGAATCTTTATTTTCAAGGGAAGCCATTTGATTTTTCATGCCCTCTTTTCCTTGGTTGATTAAAGATTATCTTCAAGGCAACAATGTTGAAGTAATGAGTGCAATTGATGTGAGCAGCATATGAAAGCACAGAGCGCACCTGTCGTGGTTAAGTAAGCATGTTGTAAATCTTGCCTTCTCAGGCGTGGTTTCTGGAACTGAAGGGGCGCACCACCTGTCCATTTACCACCTTGGAAATTGTTGATTGCAAGATGGATCTCTGGTCTCTAGGGCGGCTGGGGAGGGCTCTGCAGTTGAGCTGTTTGCATTCCCTTGTCCTGGATTACTGCAGGTAAGGCTGGAATGTGGAGTTCCTCAGGTAGCAGGGGAGACAGCAGCCAGAGATGGCCACATCCGGGTTCCTGTGCCTCAGTGAGGCATGGCTGAAAAAGGACCCTCCAAAACCTCCTGAGAGTTGATGTGCCTGAGTATGTCAGGGTTCTCAAAAGAGTCTCTTCCACTCATTTGCTCTTTGAACAAATATCTGTCGAAGGCCAATTTATAGAAGACACTGTGCCCACTGCTGGGACAATACATACGTATATGAGGCAATGCTGCTGTCCAAGCAAGTTTTTGGTACAGTGGGAAAAGACATGCTCTTGACTCGGCGTAATGCACCATGGAAAGTCGTGTCTGGATACATGTTTTGTGGTACTTCAGATGAGGGAAACCATAGTTCCTGAGGTGATGGGTTAGTGGTCACCAGAAGAGGAGCAGGGGAGAAAGGTGAGGTGTTAGGGAGGAGCAGAGCACGTCCTTCATAGAGCTGGGGTGCCAACAGGGAGGGTCTGGGGGTGAGGAGAATAATAATAATAATAATAATAATAATGCCAGTAGATGGTTATTGAGTGCTTACTGTGTGCCAAGCATCTTCAGGGATTAGCTCATTTATTCTCCCAATGACCTATGGGATTTCCAGTCCTAGATTAGAGATGAGGGAAGACTTGTTCAAGGTCATCCAGAGGTTAGGGATGGAGCCTTGATGTGAATCCAAATTGCCTGACCTCAACAGAAATTGCAGGTTAGCAGCTTCTGGGTGAAGAATTTTCCTTCGCGAGCTGTGAGTGCCCACTCTGATCCATGACACTGGATTTCCTGGGCTCCATTATTGACCATTCACAGACAATTTCAGACTGTTTGTATGGAAACTTTCTGATTTCGTTGAGATGATTTCCACTTTAAAAGTTGAGGAGTCTGTGACTCTTCCCATGTAGCCAGATGGGGTCTTGTACCCAAAAGACCAGTGGGCCATGAGGTGAGAGGAATGATTCCTGCTTGAGAAATGATGTCACAGAGACACAAAGTCCCTTAAAGAGAGAGGGTCCTGTCAGGACCGTGGTGATACTGAACAAGTCCATCAACAAAAACTAGGCAGAATGGGCTGGGGTTGTAGCTCAGTGATAGAGCACTTGCCTAGCATGTGTGAGGCACTGGTTTCGATTCTCAGCACCACACAAAAATAATAAATAAATTAAATAAAGGTATTGTGCCCATCTACAACTAAACAAATAAAAATAAATTAAAAATTTAAAAACTAGGCAGAAGGACTCCCAGCCCAGGGCAGCAGAAAGCCCAGGGTCCTCAGTACACCCTGCAGCAAATGCGGGATCGGCTTGGGCATCCCCCTGATTTCTCACGCTCTACTGGGAAGAATCAACCCCACTGCTAAGAGACCCTGCTAAGCCCCAGGTCCTGGGAGGGACCCTATGCAGTGGAAAGAGAGAAGAAAAAAGAAATTCCCATCTTCAGGAATCAGCTTGCCTTAACTGTCAGTTAACATAATTGCTGATGCCAAAGCATAGAAATCTAGAGTTATCAGGGTTGGGTAGATGGAAAGCGCCACCTGAGACCTCAACAGAAATTGCAGGTTAGCAGCTTCTGGGTGAAGAATTTTCCCTTGCGAGCTGTGAGTGAACCAGGGAAGCTGCCCTACGTTCTCCTGCATGACTGCACCCCTATCCAGCTGGGATACTGGCATAGTATGGAGGTCAGAGGCCCTCCATAATTACTTGTTAATTAGCTAATACACTTAAAAAGTTATTTCTGATAATATTACCCACCTCATTCTAAAATTCAAGCCTTGACATTGCCAAATCCTTGATGATCTCACTTTACCTCATTGAACCTCAGTTTCCTGACCCATTCATGGTACCAATCCCTACCCAAGCAGGGTGTGGAAGATGCTTGTGATTTCACTCTGCAAACTAAAGACTGTAAGGTCCAAGGTGAGAGAGCACAGAGAATGAGAAGTTGAACTTTCCTGAACATGCTCAGGACATACCTTATAAGGCCCCTCCTTATAGGGTCTTGGTGCTGCTGGGGTCTTCTCAGCCTCCTCCCATCCTGCCAGCGGGGCCACCTCACCCATGTCTATAGTGCCAACCTCAAGACTCAGAGCTTGTTCTCCCTCTGTTTGCTAGAATGGGCTCGTCAAACCATCCTCTGCTCCCTTTGCCCAAGAGTCAGCCTTCTGGTCCCCTTCGGTCTACACCTGGGCTGACCTCCCCCCCCACACACACTGCCAGCCCTGGCTCTGGAAACCCAAGCCAGGGCTTAGAAGAAATGTCCCTCCCTGCCCTGGGGAAGGCTTTATGATTAGTAATGCAGCCAGCTACAGAGGTTTAAAAATCGCTAACTTGTTCCTGTCATTTCCTGTAGATTTGGAAGTGAAGAAATTGAGAGTATTTTCTCAGGCCTGGAGAAGCACCAAAGGCTTCGCAGCCTCAGTCTGCGTTACTGTGGGCTGGAGCCCCGGAGTGGGCATCGGCTGGGCTCCCTCCTCAGCCAGAGTGCCATATGGTGAGACGTGGCCCCTCCTCCCCCCGCTCGTCTTGGCAACGTTTTCTCTTCAGCCACACAACCCATCGTGACAGTTATTTTTGATTGGTTTTTCCTAATATAAGAGAAAGATCCATTAGCTAAGTCTGGGGATCAAAGATGTCATGCTGAATGCATGGGTTTGGCCAGCTGACACAGTCACTAGATCTATTTATGACATGGCCTATTTTTTTTTATTTACTATGATCTATTGATTGATTATTTTATGGCTAGGCATATTACTTTATCAGCTGAAGATCTTTTTTCTATATTTTACGGGTGCATTAAAATGATACATAATATATAGTATATAATAAATAGATAATAAATAAATACATGCATGCAATATAACAATGTAACTTGGTCAATATCACTCCCCAGTACCTTTTCTTTCCCTCCCTTCCTCCATCCTTCTAATCCCCTTCCTCTACTTTTCTGGTCTCTCTTTGATTTTCATGAGATCCCCTCACCACTTTTTTTCCTTTTCCCTTTCTAGCTTCCGCATAGGAGAGAAAACACATCACCCTTGACCTTCTGAGTCTGGCTTATTTTGCATGACATAATGATCTCCAGTTCCATCCATTTTCCTGCAAATGATATAATTTCATTCTTCTTTATGGCTGGCTAAAACTCCATTGTATACATATACCACATTTTCTTTATCCATTAAACTATTGAGAGATACCTAGGCAGGTTCCATCATTTGGCTATTGTGGGTCATGCTGCTATGAACATGGGTATGCAGGTATCAGATGAAGACCTTAAGCCCTGATTTGAGGAAATGGAACTAACACTGATGAACAATTATTTCTCTCTCTTCTCTAGTGAACTGTACCTTGACGGTAACTACTTGCAATGTTCTGGAGCCCTGGCTCTCCTCAGACCCATGGCAGAGTATGCAGAGATGCAGGGGAGAGACCAGCCAGTCATGGCCTTACCAGACACCGGAAATCCCCCTCAGCTGCTCCAGAGTAAGCACTGGGAAACTTGGCTCTATGTTCCTTTGGGGGCCACCTGGAAGAAGGAAACTGCTTTGTGATTAAAAGTGACCTTCTTATTAGTCAATGGAGATTCTTCTTTAGATGTACAGGAGGCAGAATAATGCCCCCCCCCCAAATGTCTTTGTCCTAATCTTCAGAACCTGTAAATGTTACCTCTTATGGTAAAAGAGACTCTACAGATGTGATTAAGTTCTGTATTTTTTGAGTTGTGGAGATTAGCCTCAACACATGGGTGGGGACAGTGTAATCCCTAGGATCTTTATAAAAGGCAGCAGGAGGGTCAGAGTCAGAGAAACTGTGACAACAGAAGCAAAAATTGCAGTAAGGCCAGCAGCAAGGGAATGTGGGGGTGTCCAGACAAGGAAACTAATTTTCCACAGAGTCTCCAAAGGAATATAGCTCTGCTGACACTCACCATTTTTGACCTATAAGATCTATTTCTGCTTCTGACCTCCAGAATATAAGATTAACTACACTGGTATTATTTTAAGCCACTTAATTTATTTTCACTTGTTACAGCAGCAACAGGAAACTAATACAGTATGTTCATCAGATTCTCCGGGTTAAAATTGAAAGCAACACAACAGGATTAAAGAGCAATATGGGTTTATTGACTCACATAACTGGGATGTCCATGGGCGCAGCTCCCTTCAGAGACGGCTGAATGAGTGGAGGGGCTCAAACCATGTCATCAGGAGCCCTCAAGTTTGTTACCCCTGACACTGGTTTCCCTTGGAGGGTTGGCCTCCTCTCCCAGGCTTTCTCCAAGCAGAAAGGACAGTTTATATACCTGCCAACAGCCCCAGGTTTACATCACTGTGATTTGTAATCAAGCAGAAGGCACAAGCCTCTTGCTTCCAATAAGAAGGGATTTAGGTCACATACTTACCTGTTGGCTCAATCTCTGTGTAGGGCTAGTGAGCTATTGGCCAGAACTGATGAATCACACACTCAAACACTCATCACATGCAGAGGACCGAGCTCTGTGCCCAGCGGCCCTGCCAGCATCTCATAAAGAGGGAATAACCATCCTGAGGCATATGGGGAAGACAGATGCTGGACAAACAGGAACAATAGCTGTCTATTTCCCTCAAAATGGCTTCTCATCTGTTTTAATAGATTCTAAGGATGCATATTCACGACACATTTTAAAGCTGACGACTTTTTAATAACTGGTCACAGCAAACTGTGGCAAATGGTTAAGAGCACAGACAGAGGCCTGGGTTCAAATCTCTTTGTGTCTTTGAGCGTGTCTTCCAGAATCAATCTAACTTCAGCCATTTCAGCTGCAAAATGAACACAATGATAATTAGCCCATAATGGTCCGTGAGAATTATGTGATTTAATGAGCAGTACTTACTTAGTACGATGCCTTGCTCAGAGTAAGTCCTTGAGAGACATTAATTATCATCACCACCATAGCAACAACGACCCCTTCCCAGGAGAGCAGAATCTTCAATAATATTGGTAAATACGATTGCTCTATTTGCTGGGGGAAAAAAATGAAGATAAAGAGCTTGATGTAAAGGCCACTTCATGGAGGTGAAAACAAATAACTTGTAACAAATTCATATACGTAATGGTTGTTGCCTGTTTCGGGACCTTCATCAGAATTACATAGGTCATCTGTTGAATTTGATAATTCAGTTAGCCCTGTAACTATGCAAAAGGAAACTGGAAAAGAATGTTTAATATCAAGCATACTTTCCCTGTGCTATTTTTTTTAAGCCATGATCCTATGTATGAAGTCCTGCATGATAGCTTTGGAATCAAATAACAAGTGGATCTGTTGTTGTTGTTGTTTGTTTGTTTTTTAATAGTTGGAAATGTAAAAGTGGTGTCTCAAGGGGTTAGCATATGGCAGGTGAGGACAGGTGTGGGAGTCATGAGAGGTAAAGGAGGGGCCAAGGATGCAGGGAATAAACATGAAGATCCCCCTTTCCAGATGTCCCAAGTGTTTTCTGCTAAAAGGGACAGTGACACTTAATATGGAGAGTTCTGGATTTGTTTTTTAAGGGTTGGAGTTGAGGACAGAGAGTGTCTGCCCTGTCATTCCCCACAGGTGCCCAGGTGGGTGGGAACTGCGCTGGGGCTGGGCCCTGCCATCACGGGTCAAGAGACAGAAGCTCTTTTAAGTTTTCATAGGGTCTCAGAAATAACGACAACACCCACCACAAATTCAGGTACATTTCTAGGTTCTTCTCTTTCCCTAAGGCTGTGACACTAAAATCCACTGGAACCTTCATTCATTTATTTATTTCATTTTTTAAAATTTCAATTTGTTATATGTGACAGCAGAATGCTTTACAGTTCATGTTACACATATAGGGCACAGTTTTTCATATTTTTTATTGTTCCTGGGAACCTTCATTTTTATCCCATTTCAGCTGGTACATTTAGCTATTCTGAATTCCCCTGGATAATTGTATCTGTGTTCCCAGGATGCCATAACAAAATGCTGCAGGCTGGGGGGCTTACACAACCAAAATTTTATTTTCTCACAGTTCTGGAGGTTGGAAGTCCAAGATTAAGGTGCCAGCCAATTCTGTTCCCAGTGAGGGTTGTTTTCACGGCATGCAAAGGGCCACCTTCTCACCATCTCCTCCTGTGACCTTCCTCGGGACATCAGGTGGAGAGAGGGAATGAGCTCTCTGGCCTCTCTTCTTACAAGGACACTGAATCTATCAGATCAGGGCCTCGCTTTCCTGACCCTATTTAACCTGAATTCCTTCCTTAGATTCCCCGTCTCCAAATACAGCCACATTAGGGGTCAGGGCTTCAACATATGAATCTGGGGCAGACAACAACATTCAGTCTATAACAGTAACGTGCACACCAGCACAGAGGGAAAGAACCTGTGTTTCAGAGCTGGGATCATAGACCTCAGCTCAAGCAAAATTATTTTTCCCATCCTGATTTAATATGCCAGCAGGATTAGCCTTAAATAATAGTTAGAATAAGAGGCACGTGAGGCAAGAAAGTTCAATGACCGTGGATCACCAACAGCCCCCACCCCATCTCATTTTCTTTTTCCATTTTAACTACAATATACTTTATAAATCCTGATGTCTTATAGTACGTCGATCTGTCAAAGGGAAAGCAATTGCACAGATTGTTCTCCAACAATCCAGGGTCATCTCCAACCTCCCCCACCAACCAGGATCCTGATTTTGCCTTGGTGAGGGGTCAGTGGAGGTGCTGGCCCTCACCTGGCCATGGGTGGGTATGGAACCCACCTGGACTTTGCCACCCTAAAATAGGATTCTTGAGCAGAAGAACCTGGTATCTTACCCCAACTACCTGTCATTTCATGATCCTGCCAGATCCTTGTTGCTATCCTGGCCGCTGTCCTTAGATAGCCTTGCTCTTAGAGCACAGTACATGAAAATTTTCCCAGGATATGTTGGAAAGGGTGTGAGTGTTTGTTTGTTTGTTTGTTTAATAATTGTAGCCTAGAAATTTAATTTTCATTTTATTAATTATTTTTTGTTGGGTACTGGGAACTGAACCCAGGGGAACTCTACCCCTGAGCTACATCCTCAGCCCTTTTTATTTTAGATTTCAAGACAGGGTCTCACTAAGTTGTTGAGGCTGGTCAAACTTGTGATCCTCCTGCCTCAGCATCCTAAGTTGCTGGAATTATATGCCTGTACCACCATGCCCAGCTAGATTTTTTTTTTTTTTAAGAAATGCCCAGGTCTCAACTTCCATGAGAATCATGTACCTGTTGTTAAAATATCCTTGGTCATAAGCATAAGCATCTCATTCTCCTACTTTGCAAAAGAAAGGAAAACCTCTCTTCCAATCAGTATCTTAGTAGAATGTTTTGCTCTGGAATACAGAAGCAGAGAGACAATTCATAATATTATGAAAATATTACAGAAGTTACTGACTCCAATAACTCAGGGACAACCTGTTTTTACACATCAAGTGGTTTCCAACTTTTGCTTTTAATGAAGGAGGACCTAGTCAAGTTATCAGCTGACATGTTATTTAAAAAATCTTTTTTTTTTTTTGCGAGGCACAGTGGCACATGCCTGTAATCCCAGTGGCTTGGGAGGCTGAGGCAGGAGGATCTCGAATTCAAAGCCAGACTCAGCAATTTAGCGAGGCTCTGAGCAACTCAGTGAGACCCCGTCTCTAAATAAAATACAAAAAGGTCTAAGATGTGGCTCAGTAGTTAAGGACTCCTGGGTTCAATCCCTGGTACAAAAAAAAAAATCATTTTTGTATGTGATAGATTACTAGGCAATTTTTAATATATAATTCAAGTATTCAAAGAATTGAATAAAACTGGTAAGGTAAAACTTTTTCTAGAATTACACAGATGAAAAACAACTTATTATAAGTATACCCCATACAATGTTTGGGATATACATGCCCTAAAATAATTATTCTTTATTCATCTGACAATTAAAGTTTCCGGGTGTCCTGTAATGGAATGAGAGTATAGGGACAGATGGAAGGAGTTTAGGGCAAGAGAGGCTAAGCCTGGAATCCTACTCCATCCTCATCTTGTGCAAATAAGGCTTGTTAGCATGTAAAACTCTAGCAACAACCACAGAAAACAACAGAACAATACTGAACTCTGCATCACTCTAGAATATTCTCCAATGGATATGTGAATTAATAGAAAAAAAACAAACAAAAAAGCATTATTTGTTTCACTGAAAAATGCAGTCGATAAAATTTTTATTTCTGTACTTATTAAGGTTTATCAAAATGTGTAAAATACACATGCTGTATTATATGTGTAGTTCTAAAAGTTGATTAATAACTGCAGAAGAAATTTTTAATACTTTACATCATATTTATTGCTTTATAGTCATATGAGGATATTACCCCAAGAAATTTTTAAAATTTAAATATTTATACACGTAGCATTTTTATTACAGAGGAATTTTACAAGATGACCTACAAATGGCTTTCAAATACAAACTAAGCAGAATGAAATTAAAAATAACAGCACAAGAAAAAAAGGGAATAATATAAAACTTTCAACAACTGAAGAAGAGTTTGCTTGTGTTTCATGTTGTTTCTGATGTTTTACTGAATTATAGTTGGTGTCAAATTGCTTGGAGTTGAGATTCCATTTGACTGATGTAAGAGAATAATGATACAACAGATTTTATTTTTAAAATGTCAACATTTGCCATAAGCTAAAAATTTTTTGAAATTTTAAAACTTATGAAAAATTTAAATATCAACCTAAAATTGTACAAGATATTCCTTGAGGATGTTATGAGATAACTTTTTTTTTTCCTGTGCTGAGAATGGAACCCAGCTCCTCATACAGACTACACAAGGGCCTTACCACTGAACTGCACCCCTAGCCCAGCAAAAATGTATTGAGATCACTGCTTAGTAAGACCCAAATGTTTGGTTCTCTCCTCTCTGTATGAGCTACTCCCAGGCCTCTCAGAAACTTCTTTTTGCTAGAGTCAGGTACTATGACTTTCTATTGCCAACAACCAAGGGGGCCCAAATAACTCACAAATAGCTAATGACAAATTTGTTTTCTTGGTTACTTGTTGCAACATAGGAATGCAATCTTAATAATGATGTACCTTCCTCTGCTCATTGTTTGTTCTAACATCCATCAAATATTCCCCCATGTGCTTAGGTTATGTTGGTGCACAAAACAAAGATCTCTCCCCTGAAGGAGGGGGCTGGAACACAGCATGCATGGGTGTGTGCATGCATGCGGAGGGTGGTCAGGCAATTTTCAAAAGGTGCAATAAATATACATATGCTACAGTTTGGTAGAAGGTGATAATTGATATGAAAAAAGAAAAAGAGCAAGGTGTGGGAGTATGGGAGTCTGGGGAAGGAAGACAGATGGCCTGTGATTTTTAAGTAGTCGGTTCAGAGTGGCCTCCTTGAAGAGGTAGCATCTGGGAACAGGCACAGTAGTGATGGAGGAGCCCCACAGAAGGGTGCAGATGAGCAGGCCAGGCTGAGGGAACAGCCTGAACCAAGGCCTAAGACCTTTGCATGTAAGAGCAGCGGGTGCTAATACATTATTCAGGGACCAGTGAGGAAAGGACCCTGTAACTGGGAAGGAGCTGAGGAGGGGAGGCTGTGGGGTCAGGAGCGGGAGACAGGAGACCTGCTGGGGGCTTGTCCTACAGGCAAGAGAGGCATCTGCACAAGTGAGTCTGGAGTTGGTGAGAAGGGATCAGACTCTGCATTGTACGGTGGGGTGCAAGAGAAAGGCAAAAAAGAGTCCAAACTGAATCCAGAGAGATAATATTTTAATACATTTTGGTGGGGCCGGGGGTACCAGGGATTGAACTCAGGGGCACTTGACCACTGAGCCACATCCCCAGCCCTATTTTGTATTTTATTTAGAGACAGTGTTCACTGAGTTGCTTAGAGCCTTGCTTTTGCTGAGGCTGGCTTTGAACTCGCGATCCTCCTGCTTCAGCCTCTGGAGCTGCTGGGATTACAGGCATGTGCCACCACACCCGGCAATACATTTTTTTAAACAACAACAACAACAAAATGTTCCTCCCTGCTGTGTTCTTACTGACTCCAGGAACGTGGAGTCACTTGAGGGAGCTGTGGAATGTAAGGGAGATTAACTGGAGGCCTGGTGGGCTAGTTCTTGGGCCTGACTTGGTTGCCTGTTCACCTCGAGGCTTCAGGGAGGGGAATGAAAAGTGACAGGATGGACAGGGTCTTGGCGGCAGTTTGGCTGATGCCTGTGAGAAACACCTCCCTCCAAAGAGCACATAAAATGAAGTATCTAGTGCATCATTCAAATCGGAACAGGCTACATTTTTTTTTTAATCTTTTTTGTTTTTCAACCAGCTGGCCAGGGAGCAAGATCAACTTTGAGCCAAACTGCGAAATCGTCTGAAGCCATCGCAGTGAAAACCACTTCAGAGAAGAAAAAGAGAAGAAGAGGTATTTGTGTTATTGCTGTTTGGACAATTCCTTCCCGTTCCTTCTCCTTCCTTATAACTCACTTCCCGTCTCCTAGGCTGTGTGTTCCCACTACCACCCCAAACAGAAAGAAAAATCCAAGTGGAGGAAAGACTCAAGGTCTTGTGATCCCCATATAAACCAAACAGGAAGGGCTTCACCTTGTCCACCCGAGGAGTTAATCTTTGGCACATTGAATGTTCCAAAAAAGGAATTATGGGGCCTAGGCTGGTTTGGGAACAGCTTTGTGAGAACAGCCAGCAGGACCTCATAAATCTAGCTCGGAGCCTTCTCCAACTACAATTTTACTTAGAACCAGAAACTGAGTGGTTTTGAAGGAATTTTAAGAAGTCGCCAACTTTATAGGGACCAGGGTCCTATTCCTGACATCCACACCAGCGCCTGGCTCTCAGCAATGTGAGGGCTTTGCGCTCCCCAGTTTCCAGTGTTGTGTTAACAGAGACAAATTCCAAAGAGCCTGCACAAGACAATCCTGGGTGTGTCACCTACAGTAGTCTTTGGGAAACTCTGCTCAGAGGCCAGCTTGAATCTGTGTTGTTCTGTTTTAGACCACTTCATGAGTTTTTGGTACCATTTGTTTGCAGGGAAGGGCGACTGGTTTGGGCCACTGAGCTGTATCCCTAGCCTTCCCTAGTTTCAAAATAAATTGTCCAGGCTGACCTCAAACTTGCAATCCTCCTATCTGAGCTTCCCAAGCAGCTGGGACTTTAGGAGTCCAAAACAGGCCCAGCTCTCTTCTTTGATCATAATCTGTTCTGTGTGGCTTTTTTTTTTTTTTTTATTCTATTCTCGTATTATTTGTCTTGCATCTTCTCTGTGAAATATTGCCGAATTCAAAAATTATGAATTCTTATAAGATGTAAAGTGATAGAATTTATCAGACCTTCTCTCTGTCATCTGATGTAAATATAGTCTTTCCACAGGGTAGAGCTAGTAGAGTTTGGAAATTCATAGGAGAGTCTACTCCAGGGATGGAGCTGGGAAGACTTTGGAAACATGCTGGCCTGGTGTGGAAAGCAAGAAAGGACTGAGTTGAGGAAAGACTTGAGCAAGCCATGAGCCCCAAGTTCAGCTAAAACAAGAGGCTGTGGAGTTTGGGCCTCACAAGGAGGAAGGGTCACACTAAGGAGGACCCTGCAAGGAATCCTTTGCCTGAACCCAAGAGAAACAACTTGGATATGTATTTATTTTACATTTCCAGAGTTCACCGAGGAAATTGAAAAACATCTTCCCACATTGGGCCGTTGCTTGTAGAGTCATATGGTGTTTGTTTGAGGGGAGAGTTTGGCCTTTGGTAGAACAGTCCTACTTGTTTCAAAATGAAGGGTCAGATGGAGCTGATTTACATCCTCCTCCTGGGTGAGGAGGCCAGATGGTTTCCATTTGGCCCTAATTGAAAACAGCCACGCTATTTTCCTGCACATCTCTTTTTGGACAGGAGGCTTTTGGCCTTCTGCTTGGAAAGTTGTCCCCATCGAACAAGATGAGTCCAAACCCCATTCAGAAGCTTGACCCCCCCGCCCCCATTCCTTCCCTCACTTGGAGTCACAAGAACCTTGACAGTGATAATTACAAGGACTCACAACTTGACGTTGGGCAGCCATTTACAAGTTGATAGAAGAAGCACAATATTCCATTTCTATGCATGCAAACTTGAGGCATATTCATCCCAGTCCAGTCCTGTCCTTCAACACCCGTGACCAGAAAGACTCATAGACCTAACCAGCGGCTCTGGCCATAGTCACTCCTCATCTCCAAACCCTATAAAAAAGAAAAAGAAAAAAAAAAATAGAATTATTAGATTAGTGCTTTTCTCAACTTGAATGCCTCCACAGGCACTTGGAGGACTTGCCAAAACACAGATTGCTAATAAATTTTTTTTTAAAATAATAAAACCAAATATAAAAAAAAAAAAAAGCAAGCACAGATTGTTGGGGACACCACCCCCTCAAGGTTCAGGACCTGGAGACTCTGCATTTCTATGAGGCTGATGCTACTGGTCCAGGGACCACATTTTGGGAACCACTGCTTTTGGACTTAAAAAAAAAAAAATTAGATTGCATGCTCTTGATTTATTTTGCTCATTGAAGAAAACCAGAGAACAGAGTGAGACTCCTGGCAGCCTCTTTTCTGCCCTGGAGCCATGGAATCAACAGGCCCGTGCCCATTTCTGTTCTGGTGTCTGCCTTGTCAGTTAGGCCCTCCTTGGATCCCATGGCTCTCTGTACCATGTGGATTCAGGAGCTAGGAACTCTGGGTCTGAAGGCTGGTCAGCCCTCAAATGGGAGAGTCCACCTTGGCCTACATCCCACAGACCTGTGAGGTCCATACAGAGCTAGAAGATGGCCAAAGGCTGGAAGTCCCTGAAAGGTGGGCAGGAATGGCCATCTGTGGATGACATGGTTCCCTCATCCCCATTCAGGCAGTCCTCAAAGTTCCTGAAAGACCTGATAAGGACCAAGTTGTACCTTGTCACCTGGATGTGTTGTCTTCTAGCCGAAGCCCCACACATAGTCTCCAGGAGGATTTAGGATGAAACAAACCAATAAGTGACTTAGACATGTACAGGGGTCAAAATTCAACCATAACATGATCTTTCCATGAGCTTGAGATCGATCAGAACTTCACTACGGTACCATGCTGCCCAAGCACCAAACCCACCTGCCCAGGTGAGACATCGTTGCTTATATCATAGTCCCAGTCCACAGAAATATCAGTGGCATTATGGAACAGAAGGACCAAATTCTAAAGTAAAGACGTAATCTTCAAAACAGCTTTATTAGTTCCAAAACAGGAAGGTACCACTTATAATCCTGAAATTATTTTATTGGAGATTTTATCCTGGGATGACGGCTAAACAATAAAAACCTGTACAGATGGGTTCTAAGATCCAAGGTGTGAATCATCCCATGCTAATTGCACCTTGATTTCTGAAGCCCTGTAATCAAGCGAATGAAGTTTATGTTCTGGTTTGTAAAACTGGGAATTATACAGGAAATTACACGTGTTCTTTGTCAATGGAAAGAAGTTATTTTTAACAATTTTTTTTCACTTTTTTTATTGGTTGTTCAAAACATTACAAAGCTCTTGACATATCATATTTCATACATTAGATTCAAGTGGGTTATGAACTCCCATTTTTACCCCAAATACAGATTGCAGAATCACATCGGTTACACATCCACATTTTTACATAATGCCATATTAGTAACTGTTGTATTCTGCTACCTTTCCTATCCTCTACTATCTAATAATTTTTTTTTTTTTAATTTCACCACAAAGAGAAAGTCCTGTCAGGGCCTAGCACCCACAGGGTGGTGAATAGTATTGAGCAGACCGATCTGATGCCATCAGAATGTGTAATGCCCACCTGATCTGGGGGCTCCAGAATAGATTAGAGGGTGAGGGAGATGAGGGAGTCTCCCTGGAGAAATGCTGGATCCATGAGAACTTGCACTTGGCCTTTGGGTACTGGCCCACCTCAGCTCTCCAGGAAGGAAGACGTTTACCAGGGGCAGGAGAGGGTGTTCTAAGCAGAAAAGCCACATGAGGAAAGGCTCAGAGAATGGAGGTGTCTGGAGGGTGGAACATCCTGCGGTCACTGCAGGAGGTCATGTGGAGTAGCTGGGGCTGTGGTGCCTTTGACTTCCCCGTGGGAAAGCAATCCACACCTGCCCTATCACAGGCCCAGAAGCTCACCTCCTCTCCAAGGGTGCACATTTGTGCCACGCTGACTGCGAGGGGTACAGCCCTGGCTGAGAACGTTTCTCTCCTTGCAAAGTTCAGCTGTGTAAGAACTCAGCTTCCAGCCTTCAGCCTGGGACCACCGGCTCACCTTGCACCCATCCTGCCTTCTGGCAGGCTGGGAGGGGGTGAGGAGAAATGAGGGCCACGTGTGGTCGGTGTTCACGTCGTTAATCATTCCGAGCAGTAGACCCAACTTTACAAAGGCATTTATGTTTGTGAAAAAATTTTAAAAATAGAAAAATACCATAATCCATTTGTGTTCACAAAGCGGAATCGAAGCATGATTAATGACATTGTACTTGAAAAAAACAATGAACGCAAAACTTTCCACAATACAACTGCACTCTACGCTCCATTTGTTATTCATTCATTCACTCCACAAACATTTATTAAGTGTCTACCGTGTGCCAGACATTGTCCCAGTGTGTCAACACTGCTCCATTATTCATGAAAGCTGTCATTTGTTATCATCCCCATGCCCTGGATATAAGGACAAATAAGATTTAGACAAGTTAGGCTTATCCCCAATAAAACTAAAGGACAGGCCAGCTGACATCTCTCCAAGTGTGTCCTGAAGGGAGATAAATCTATTTTATTCAATGATCCAACACATTAGAGTCATATCCCAACCCCCCCCCCCCTTTTTTTAAAGCCTATTTTCTACTTTTTGTTTTTTCTGAGCTGGCGCACTAGGGTGACCTAATGTCCAAATTCACCACCTTTCCCTAAAATGTCAGTTTTCGTCCAGGGATTGAAGACTTAACACTTGATCACCATGACTCTCCACATATGCTGGCTAACCTTCACCTGACGTCAGCTCCGTGAGGGCTAAAGCGCTGGCGTATTGTCCCTTTGATTTCCTGTTGGGTCCCCAACACCTAGAGGACAGCTTGGCCCATAATAGGAAATCAATAATATTTGTCGACTGCCAAATGCATCCCAGTCAATAGAGACCTGCTAACCTGGAGGGAAGCTCTCAGCGAGCATGTGGGCAAATCAGTGTGCACACAAAGGATCCTTTAAGATCCCTTAGTTGCCTGTACAGCATGATATATTTAGATGTATTCTAAGTCCCATGCTGTTTCTTCCCTGGTTTTGGACCAGATTCCTTGCTCCTGAGTTGAGTCCCGGATGAAGTAGTTAGCTTGTGTCTAGGAGGTGCATATAACTGTAAATACCTGGGGACCCCCAGAAAGCTGTCTGGCTTTGGGATTGGTGGTTCAGATTTCCTGTCTCACTCACTGAGTGGACAAGCTGGTAGTATGCTCACCGCTATTTCTCCTTCTTCATCAATGTTTGTTTTCTTTACCAAACTCCTAACCTTGAACTGGTGTGAATTACATGTGTGTATCATGCCAACCCACAGCACCCACAACACCTACAGTGAGCCTTTTAAAAGCCATGAAGAATGAAGGTGAGCCAGCCCAGGACTCCCTTTATAAGGCCTCCCACATCCCCACAATCAGCAGACAACTCATCCTCTTCTATCAAGATTCTGCTAGGGACTTCAGTTTTTCTCTCTAGATTAATACAGAGCAATCTGCAGCTTCCCAGATTAAAGAATGAGAGAGACATGGAGTATGAAACAAGGACTTTAAAAACTACATATGTAGTACTTCCTTGCTATATTGCAAAATGAATCCACTCACACAAGTCCAGCGAGTACAGATTTTTTAAAAAAATAATCAGTTTAGCTGATGATAAATGGGAACTATTGTCTAAAATAACAAATCACTCTGATTTTCTTGTAGGATTCAGGAAAAAAGTGAAAGGTTTGACGGAAGCTGGTCCTTGGCTAGTGAAGTTGTACTTGGCAGATAATGGCATAGATGGAAAAGGAGGAGGAGCGGACTTGTTGGAATTCACCCGAACTTTAACATGGTGAGTAGCAAATAGAGGTCTGGTTTGTCCACTTTCCAGAACTAAGTGTTTGTGAGTCATGGGGATGATGATTTAGTTATCTTATTATTTATTTATTTTGGTACTGGAGATTGAACTCAGGGGCACTTAACCACTGAGCCACATCCCCAGCCCCTTTTTGTATTTTATTCAGAAATGGGGCCTCACTGAGTTGCTTAAGGCCTTGCTACGGTGCTTATGGCCTTGAACTCATGAACCTCCTGCCTCAGCCTCCAAAGCTTATGCCACGGTGTCCAGTAGGAATGATGATTTAAATGCAGATTTTTTTTTAGCAGTTTCTTGTAAGGTTGTTCAGCTCCAAGAGCGCTGTGACCTGAAAGGAAGCACAGCCTAGTTGGAATTATACACTCCTTTGTGTTGTCCCAACCTCCTCGGTCCCAAAGACATAGCTATTCTCGAAAGTTTACGGAAAACAGAGTATTTCCTTGCCATATTTGTCTTAACGAATCTTAGGCCTCTCCCTGCCCAGCTGCACAGAATCCACATCCTCCGTGGGCCAAGGCACAGTTCGGGGGTGCCACTAATCTAGGAAAACTTGCTGGGTGGAGAGGGCTCTTGAGTGCACACCCCCAGCAGTAGGTCCTTCCGGCACCTGAGGCATGGGCAAGGTCTGAAGCTGGAGGCTGGTGGATGGCAAGTTTAGAAGAAAAAGATTCCTTCTCTAATATACTTATCTCCTTATTCAAAGGAAGAAGGGGAAGATGTTTTAATGGGAGAGCTTTGCTGCTCTTTCTATAATAATTATATTAATAAATTTCCTTTTGTTGACCTTTTAATATAGTATTGAATTTAATATATTGCTGATGCATTATTCTTTTGGTGTATTGCTAAAAATTTTGTGAAGGTTTTTTTTGCAACTATATTCCCAGGTATACTAACCTTGTACTTTTCCTTGTAACATCTTTGTCTGTCTGGGATCCAGATGGTTCTGGTGGCAGAGAATGAGCTAGGAAATGTCCCCTTCTATCATATTCTATGAAATACTGTGTGTAGTAATGATTGACAGTATTTCATCAGTATTAGGTAGATTGTTCAGTGAAGACCTCTGGACCTGGAGCTTTCTTTATGGGACATTTCGAACTATGAATTCAACTTTCCAGTAGCGATAGGGCTATACTGGCTTTGCTTTTTTTATTTTTATTTTTTCTGTATAAAGCTCTGATAATTGGTGCCTTTCAAGAAATTTGTTCATTTCATTCAAATTGTCAGATTTATTGGCACAAAGTTTTTCATGACACTTCCTGATGAGCCTTTTAATGTCTGTTGGATCTATAGTGATGCTTCCTCTTTTGTTGACATTGATAATTTGTTTTTGCTTTTTCTCTGATCATTTTGGTTAGAAATTTATAATTTTATTAATCTTCTCAAAAAAACATCTTTGGTTTTCTCTACTGTTGCTCTATTTCCAATTTAATTTATTTCTTCTCCTTATTATTTCCTTTCTTCTCCTGACTGTGGGTTTCATGTTCTTCTCTTTCTAGATTACTAAGGTAAAAGCTTAAGTCTTTATTTTAAGCCTTTTTATTTTTCTAATATAAATAATTGTCTTAGCACTAAACACCGCTTTCATTGTGCCCTGCCAATTTTGATACATTGTATTTTCATACAGCATGGGATGCATTAGATTGACAGCCTTGCTCAAGTCTTCCATGCCTTACTAACTTTGTAGTTACTTGCTCTAAAAATTATTAAGAGAAGGGAATCTGTGATTATATCTCATTGAAGTTTAATCAGTTTTTGTTTTGTGTATTTTGAAGCTCTATTATAGTTACATGTCAGAGTCCATCTCCAACAGGGGTTCTCAGGAGACGAACTGATGGTGAGGAGTCAGCGAAAGGGAGTGGAGAAACAACACAGACACAAAAGTGAAGGCGCTGAATCCCAATCTTTACTTGTGAAGTTAATCATATATACTTTTCATTTTGACAGGCTCACAATACTTTGTGGTTACAAAACAGGAATTATTATTCAAAGAAACAAAATATTACGTAGCTACAATTAGATAAGAAGAATGTATCTTGGCTTATGCATAAGCAAGCATTTTTACTTTCAGTTCACGTTTTGCTTTGAGCTGTTTCTGCTTAGTTAGCTTTTAATAATAGTTAGAAATGTCCCAGATTATTGGCCTATACCTTGACTATTCTTTCTTAACTTACTGACTAGAACCAGCACCGCAGTTATGGCAAGTGGTTAACTTGAAAAGAGAGGATACTAATTTTAATCAAACAAGAGTAAGAGTACAAACCATTGTGCACAGGAACAAGAACAAGCGCTAATCTGTCTTCTTAACATTAATTCTTCTTCTCTAGATTTTAATTTAATGTCTCAAAAACTTCCTTGACTGTTTTTCCTACAGGGGGTTTTCATTAAGCATTAACAATTCACGTTCCACAGCTGAATCTTTGCATTTATAGCAAACAGATTTATTCTTTAGAAGTAGTTGCATTAATTGGGAAAGTCATGTTTTTTTCCTTCATATTTAATGGTCATATGAGAAGTCTCAATTATACTTATTAAGAGAATACAAAAACAAACCAGCCCATTCCCAGAGACATACTGCGCTCCTCCAGAGGATGGATGCCTTGTGCCATCCACCTCAGTAGGGCCTTGCCATAGCCTGAGTCAGGGGAGGGGCGCAGCAGTTAATAAACTTTTAAGATTGTTAGTATCTTGATGAATTTACCCTCATTATCATTATGAAAGATCTTTGGTTGTTGTTGTTGTTTTGTACTGGGGATTGAACCCAAGGGCACTTAACCACTGAGCCACATCCCCATCCCTTTTCAGTTTTTGAGACAGGGCATCACTAAGTTGCTTAGGGCCTCGATAAGTTGCTGAGGCTGGTCTCCAACTTGTGATTCTCCTATCCCAGCCTCCCAATCTGCTGGGGTTACAGGCGTGCACCCCCACACTTGGTCCACATTCATTTTTTTCTGGTCTTTTGTCCCTTTGCCTTCCACCAATGGTTTCCATTGCATGTCTTGTGTTCACTAATCCATCCTCCTGCAAGTCTAACATGCCCTCAGTGCCCTCCAATGTGTTTTTTTAATAACTCTGTTACAACTATGGTTTATTTTTATTTATCTTATTTTATGTGCTGCTGAGGTTTGAACCCAGGGCCTTACACATGCTAGGCCAGTGCTCTACCACTGAGCCACAGCCCAGCCCCAATCCAATGTGACTTCATCATCTTCACTCCTGTGAGTTCCACCCAGGGACTCCCTGATCGCTCCACTTCTACCTGCAACCTGTTCACGCTCTCCCCTGCCTTCTTGGGTGTCGAGAGTACACTGATAATGAATGTGTTGATGTCTTGGATATTATCACCCATGTCATTCTGGGTATCTTATTTTATCTTTTTAATTGTAGATGAACACAATACTTTTATTTATTTATTTTTATGTGATGCTGAGGGTCGAACCCAGTGCCTCATACCTGCTAAGCAAACACTCCACCACTGAGCCACAACCCCAGCCCCTCATGTGTCTGTATTATGTTGTTTTTAAGTCCTTTAGGTATAGACCGAGGAGAGGGATAACTGGGTCAAATGGTGGTTCCATTTCCAGTTTTCCAGGGAATCTCCAACTGCTTTCCATATTGGCTGCACCAATTTGCAGTCCCATCAGCAATGTATGAGTGTGCCTTTTTCCCCACATCCTCACCAACACTTATTGTTGTTTGTATTCTTAATAGAGATGATGAACATTTTTTCATTTACTTGTTGATTGATTGTATATCATCTTCTGAGCAGTGTTTGTTCATTTCCTTTGCCCATTTATTGATTGGGTGATTTGTTTTGTTGGTGTTAAGTTTTTTGAGTGCTTTATATATCCTAGAGATTAGTGCTCTGTCTGATGTACGTGTGGTAAAAATTTCCTCCCATTCTGTAGGTTCTCTCTTCACCTCACTGATTGTTTCTTTTACCAAGAAGCTTTTCAGTTTGAATCCATCCCATTTATTGATTCTTGATTTTATTTTTTGCGCTATAGGAGTCTTGTTAAGGAAGTTGGGGCATAATCCAATATGATGAAGATCTGTGCCTACTTTTTTAAATATATTTTTTAGTTGTCAATGGATCTTTATTTATTTATATGTAGTGCTGAGAATTGACCTTGTGCCTCACACATGCCAGGCAAGTGAGCCATGTGAGCCAGTGAGCCATGACCCCAGCCCCTGGGCCTACTTTTTCCTGTACTAGAAGAAGGGTCTCTGGTCTAATTCCTAGGTCCTTGATCCACTTTGAGTTGAGTTTTATGCATGGTGAGAGACAGGGGCTTAATTTCATTTTGCTGCATATGGATTTCCAGTTCTCCCTGAACCATTTGTTGAAGAGGCGTTTATTTTCCATGATGTTAAAACTTACTTGATTTTGAAAGCTGCCTTTATTTTGAAACCATGGCCTTTCTAATTTTATGCAAAAGTACATGTTTATTTATCCTGTGGCTAGATGAGTGTTGTTATTTATTTACCAGGCCTTTTTCAATCCTTCCAACTTTTTTTAATTCTGCTGATGTATAAAATATAAATGACTGGGAAGTCCTGCACAATATCACACCTTATCTTTTGAACAAATAAATGAATGAAGGATTTAAGGCGAGTAAAATTCTTACCTTACCAACTTACCTAAGAGATGCAGAGCATGGAAACTAGAGAGATTAAACTGGGAGGAATTGTGCTCAGGATGTTGCCAGTCTCTATTTACATCAGTACTTTGGGGATGGGGCAGGGGGAATGGAGAGGACTTAAAAAAGAAAGTCCAGCCAGGTGGCTGTGAGGCTGAAGTGGGAGGATCGAAAGCTCAAAGCCAGCCTCAGCAATTTATCGAGGCCCTAAGCAATTCAATGAGATCCTATCTCTGAATAAAATGTAAAAATGGGCTGTGAGAGTGGCTCAGTGGTTAGGCGCCCCAGGGTTCAATATCCCTGGTACCATAAAAAAAAAAAAAAAAAAAAAAGTCTGTGCTACAGAATAACTGAGTTATTGAGTTGAGTTTCTTTGAGTTTCTTCCATGCTGTGACAACATCGTTGTGTTGAAGTGTCACCCCCTTTCTCCACAGAAAAGTCTTAACTGGGCTTCTCCAGAAATCTTCACCATGGCTGATTTTAGGGCTGTCAGCAAGAGTCTCTGCAAAAGAGTCCAATGTAGATAAACTTCCTATTTTCATGTCACCCTGTTTTATTTGGCCACTGGCCAAGAAGATACCAGCATTCCAGGTGCTGAACACCCCCTTACTAGTTTTTCACACACGTATCCAGTATAGTAGTTTGTAGAAATGTACAAACAGGCCTCTGGCCTTGAGCTGGGCTTCACAGAGATGTCTACATTTTTTAGATAAGTTACCAACTGGGCTCCATGGTAACAGCTGGCAGGGGGAGGAAAGAAAGGGGAGAAAAAGCTCTCCCCTTCTCAGGTGTTGTCCTTGAAGGGTTAACTGCCCCAAACAGTGAAAGAAAAAGCTGCTTTTATGTGAACCTCTACAGACTGTGAACTTCTGAGCCCCTCCCCTTACATGCTGGGTATAAAACTCCGAAACTCCCTGAACTCAGGGTTCAGGGGATTAATTGATTACAGCAAAAGCTGTGCCCTCTGAACCTGGCTGCAGCCAAATAAAACTGCTTCCTGCTGTCTTCGGTGCCTTGCCTCATCTGTCCCTTCAACAGTGTTTTGTAATTTTCTCTGGACAGCCTGATCAAGTACTCTACCCACTTGAGGGAAATTGACCTTGGAAACAATGACTTGGGAGAAACAGCTGCTGGTGACATCCTTGGAGCACTGAGAGCCAGGAAGAAAGGTAGAGTGTTTTCAATTTGTGTCTCCCCCACCTGCCAATCAGCTCATTCCTAAATTCTGTAGTATTCACAATTTGCTCCACATTTTTTTTTCCCCATTTAAATAACAAGAACTATGCGATGACCAGGAGCAGTGTCACAGGCTGGCCACTGCTGTGTCAATGTGCCCAGTGGTTTGCACAGAGTTAAGAACTTTTATGATGTCATAGGTAGTCTTCCATCTAAGTAATGACACCCACTCCTACCCCCAAGACACGGGGTCTTGGCTATGTTGCCCTTGAACTCCTGGGCTCAAGCCATCCTCCTACCTTATCGGCCCAAGTAGCTAGGACTAGAGGTCTGGCTAGTAATAAATATTTTTAAAGTGAACTTTTCTCCACTGGTTTTTCTTCCGTTTGCTGTCATCCTTGCTTATTCTCCAGGAACTCTTTTCTGGTTCTCTATTCTCCTCCCAGCCCAGACTGCAATGATTTCTCCAAATAGCAACTGGAAACCTCAAGTAGTAATCCTCATGGGGTTACCGTGTGTTTCTGTGTCATCTGTCCCAAAGAATGGTTCATTGTGATTGGCCTGGGGCAAGCATTAAGAGGATGTTATGATCATGCAGCCTTTGAAAATGAGAGAATCACATGTGGCAGAGATTGGTCACTTTGGCCACCCTTGGCCACCCCTGCCCGTCCTTCATGATCAGACACCACCAGAGTTAACAATGGCTGCTCTTCCTTCTTTTAAATGCAGCACCACAAACGACACCATAAACAGATTTGAAAATGAAATTCGATACTAAGAAAAGTATCTGCTTTGGCCTGAATGCCAGGTTCATGACAGGGCAGAAGCTGAACAAGTTCTGGAGAACTCTCCTGTATATCTCCTGAAATTATCCTGTGGCAAAAATATGAGGACCCCCCCAGTGGACATCTGGAGCCTGGGTGTCATTCTGCATTTCATGGTCATAGGAGATACCCATTTATGGGAACCACTGCTAAGCAACTGAAGAAGCAGACTGTGCAGGCAAGGTACACCTTCCCCCTGCACGTCTCTGAGGGAGCACAGAGCCTCATCCATCAAATACTGACAGTGGTCTCCATACAGAGGCCCCAAGTAAAGCATATAATTGGGCACTCATGGCTGAGGCAGGGTGAGAATTATTTACCCAGTCATTCTAACAAGCTACTCTCAAAATACCTTGATCCCTCAATTTGTGACAATCATGTTTGATATGAGTTGTGACTCCTATAATACCTGGGTGTCCCTGGTAAATAAAAAAATATGAGGAAAAAAAAAGGAAAATTGGGGGAACTCTTAGAGGTGCACTCCATGGCAAGAGGCATGAAGGTGCACACACATCTGGTCTTTGCTATTTCTTCCTAGAATGGCCTTAGAGCCTGGCATGATTGTAGACTGCATTTTTCTTTCAATGCTGGTAGTGGTTAGAGAGAAGAATTATAATTGCTTGCTGTATTTCAACTTTCTAAACTAGAACTCCGGCCTTTTAAAAAAATTTTTTTTAGTTGTAGATGAACACAATACCTTTATTTTATGTATTTATTTTTATGTGGTGCTGAGGATCGAACCAGTGCCTCACACTTGCTAGGCAAGTGCTCTACCACTGAGCCACAACCCCAGCCCAACTCCAGCCTTTTTAAACCGCCAATCAAATGATGCCAGGATTTTTCAATGATCCTTTTCTTTGGAGGAACAGAACTACTTCTCCCTGCTCCATTAGAGTTGAATTCCAATTCGACAGAATCGTGCTGTTAAATGTAATTCAAATTTGACTTTAATTTTAAACTCGATAAACAGGAGGCAGGTTAATGATTTCCTTTTGCTTCTTCTGGCCCCGTGGAAAGCTTTCATTACCCGCTGCAGCAGAAGGCATTAAGAGACTGCAGGCAATCTTCCCACTATTAGTGAGTGCTAATGATGGACAGTCTCAGATGACTTGATAGAAAACGATTCTCATCCAGTACGTATTTGCAACTGGCAGACATTGTGCTTTTTCAGTAAATGATTTAATTTGCATAAATGAAAGGATAATTATGAAATGCCACCTGAAAATACACTCATTTAGAAAACATTAAAAGGTAGTGGATAGTTCAAGAAATTGGGTTTTTCCAAATTTAGTAGTATATATCAAGAGTAATTTTAATGCATTTATTTATCTCTTGAGCTAAAATAATTATGGGATGTTTCTGACGGGGTACTTCAGATGGTTAGTTTGAACTTCATAGAAGACTCCCCAAATGGGGCAACTGGTTGGATTCCTTAGGGAAAGTCTCTTACCATTTAGCCCTAATCACATCATTTTAAATGTTAAAAGGCAATTAGTAATATCACTGATTATAGAACTAACAACGTTCTTTTACTGATTGTACCTGTGTTCTTATCATTTGCAAGTTAACCAGCTAATTTCTAATTTTGCCTCTTTCACAAAATCCAAATTAAGGGCCTGGGGTCACTTATTGGCCTACCAGGGAACTACCTTCAATGACAGATCATGCACAATAGGCTCAGAAGCCTAAGACCCAGCCCATCCAATGAGGCTGTGAGATGGCCTACTTCTTTGTGATTATGTTCTTCTTCCCCTCAGGTAAACTACCAGTCTTAAAAATCACAGTCACTCCCCAGATCTCTTCAGACACCTTCAGATCTATTTGGAAAAATAGCAAGAAGTCTAGTAAGGCCCGAAGAAAGAAGAAAAAGAAAGGTTCGTTCTTAAATATCCGTGTTGGTGAGTAGTGTCCACCAGGGGGCGCTGGATGCAGCCTCCGCGCACCGCTGGGGTAGATGGCACCGTCAGATGCAGATGCAGATTTGGCGCTGAATAAAGAGAATTTATGTTTTAGATCACACGCCCCTAAACCAGCGTCCCATTCTAATGAATGATGATTGCATCAAGAGACAAGTAAGGAAGAGAACAGCATCCTTCCCTCGAAGATTTAGTGCAAACCCTGTCTCCCCTTTAACCCCTTTGCCTGCCCAAATTCTCTACTTCCTAGTAGCCTGTTGCAAGTCTATAAAAAGTGAATTTACCCAAACTCTCAGGAAGCCTGCGCTACCTCTTGGAGGGGATTGATTTAGATATGTTCATTCTCTATTGTGTAAAGTTGAAATTCCTCCCTCCAACCCCTTATGATTTCCCATTTATTATCTCACAGGCTAAAAACAGAATATGGATGTCAGGTTTGCACACACAGGTCATCTATTTTGATGGCGACGCAGACATGCCTGGAAGGACATTGCTTGTTCTGTAATCATATTTTTTTTTCATTGTAACCAAAAACATTTTCAAATTCTAAAATTCCAGAAGGTTCTTTTATGAAAATTGAAAGTGATGTTAATCTTATCACACATCATTTCTAAAATGCATGTTTCTCAGTAGGTCTTGGTAAATACAGGTGCGATTCTTCTCTGGGACTTCTTTTTTTGTGCATGTGAAATTTGTAATTTGAAGAAAGTATACCCCCCTTTTTTCCCCCCTAAAAAAGAAAGATATATATATATATGCCTACATTCGGGAATAATAGGATTGTTGGGAAGTAATAACAACTTCCTAAAAGGAAACATCCCCTCAAATTAGGATCTTTTCAACCAGGCATATGGTGCACACATGTAATCTTAGCCACTTGGGAGGCTAAGGCATGAGGAGCCTAAGTTCAAGGCCAGCCTGGGAGATTTAGCTAGACTCTGTTTCAAAATACTTTTTTTTTTTAATTTTTTTTTTTTTTTTTAGTTGTAGATGGGCACAATACCTTTGTTTTATTTATGTTTATGTGGTGCTGAGGATTGAACCCAGTGCTTCACACATGCTAGGCAAGCGCTCTACCACTGAGCTACAATTCCAGCCCCTCAAAATAAAATTGAAGGGCTAGGATATGGCTCAGTGGTAGAGCATCCTTGGGTTCAATCCCCAGTACCACACACATACACACAAAAGGGATCTTCTCCAAATGAGGAAATTTCTGATCATCCTACTTGGCCTTGAGGATGTTGAACAGCCCCACGGGAAATGGAAGAGGTGTGATTGATGGATGTATGAATGATACATCAGATTAGCTGAGTTTTACATGCCACATATGGTACAGGTATGAAGAGCATGCACTGGGCATCCAGATGAACCAGAATTCTCTGTGGAGGTCCTGGTATTTTCCAGGCATGTGACCTGGAGCAGTGAACTTCACCACACCTCAGTTTCCCCTTATGTAAGAATCAAATAATAATAATACCTGTCTCGTTCTGTGAGCTTTGAGTGAGCTGGCAGATGTTAAAAGTTTTAGGACAATATCTGGTTCATAATGTCACTTAAAAACAAATGCTAATAGCTGCTATTGCCACTGTTATCCTTGGTGGTCGGACTGAGTGGTTCCACCTTATTTCACCTTTGAGGCAAGAAACATTGAAAAGAAAAAAAAGAAGATTTACGACCTCTTCAGTTTGAAGTAAAAATAAAAATCTTCATTCTTCTACATCCAAATTTAGTAAGTGTACACAGATTCCTGGAAACTAATGTGGAGGTGGGCAGGGAGTATAGCAAATTATCTCACTCTCCAGGATCTTAGGAGCTAGCTAAGACAGATCCTCCTACATTAGCAGTGAGCAATAACAGGGTATAAGTGTCAAAAGAATGTCATTGGGCAGGATAAAGAAGACTACAGAATAATGACATCCAACTTAACACATTTATCAGAATTTTATGTATCTGATGTATGAAACCTCATGAGAAACTCCATCTACTTAAAAAATTATTGTTTAAAATTTTCCATACTTAAAATCAGTGTGCTTCTTTAGGAGGTGTTTTGGCAGTGTCTATCCACTTGAAAACTGCATAGCTTTTGATGTAGTCATTCTATTTTAGAAATTTGTTTTACAGATACATTTTCATAAGTGTTGGAGGAAATATAAAAATATTTAATGTAGTAACATTTATTTTACATTGTGAAAATTAAATGTCTTTTAAAGGGTCCTCTAAATAAACCACAGTAAATGTATGTGGTGCAATACTATGGAGCTTTTAAAGAGAATAATGTGGATATGTAGGATATTCAAGTGATACTATTTCCAAAATCAGGCTACAGAATAATACATGTGGAAGTTTTATATTAAAAACAAATTGGAGGGGCTGGGGTTATAGCTCAGTGGTAGGGCACTTGCCTAGCACGTGTGAGGCACTGGGTTAGATCCTCAGCACCACATAAAAACAAATAAAAAGATATTGTGTCCATCTATAACTGCACAATCAAAAATAATAAATAAATAAATTTAAGATGGGCACAGCGATGATGTCTGTAATCCCAGCAACTCAGAAAACTGAGGTAGGAGGATCCCAATTCAAGGCCAACCTCAGCAACTTAGAACCTGTCTCAAAATAAATAAATAAATAAAAAGGACTGGGGACATAGCTCAGTGGTAAAGCTCCTGGGCTCAATCCCAAGTACCTAAATAAATAAATAAGAATTGAAGCCAGGCTCAGTGGTGCACACCCATAATACCAGCAACTTGGGAGGTTGAGGTAGGAGGATTTGAAGTTAGAGGCCAGCCTTGGCAACTTGGTGAAACCCTGTTCCCCACCCCCCAAAAAAAGGGGGGTGTTGTTTCAATCCTCAGTTGCAAAAAAAGAATTGATGTAGTGTAATCTAGCTATTTCATCTCTGACTGTATTTCCAAAAGAATTGAAAGCAAAGTCATAAAGGATATTTGTATACCATGTTCATGGAGGTAGCCAAAAGGTGGAAGCAGTTCAAATGTGCACTGAAGAATGAATGAATGAACAAAATGTGCAGACCTACTATGGAATATTATTCAGCCTTTAAAAGGAATGAAATTCTAACATGTGCTATAACATAGATGAGGACATTATGCTAAGTTAAACCCAGTAACAAAAAGACAAAATCCTTATTTCCCTTTATAGGAGATAGAGTAGTTGAAATCATGGAGACAGAAAGTTGAATTGTAGCTGCCAAGAGCTGGAGGGAGAGGAAAATGGGGACTTGTTCTTTATTGAGTACAAAATTTCAATTTTGCAAAGTGAAAATGTTCTGTTACATAACAATGTGAAAATACCACACCGTAACTTAACTATGTGTTTAACTATGATTATGGTTGTAAATTTTATGTATATTTTTCCCCAATTAAAAAAATTTAATGAATTGATATGTGTCTGCTTTACATATGTAGGAATTTCTGAAGAGTCTATTAACAGTGCATGTGGGTTTCTTTTTAATTGTGTAACCATTTTTACTTTTTTTTTTTTTTTGGACCAGGATTAAACCCAGGGGTGCTTAACCACTAAACCACATCCCCAGACCTTTTTTTATAATATATGTTTTTTTAGAGACAGAGTCTCACTGAGTTGCTTAGGGTTTTGCTAAGTTGCTGAGGTTGGCTTTGAACTTTCAATCCTCCTGCTTCAACCTCCTGAGCTGCTGGGATTATAGACCTGCACCACCATGCCTGGCCCATTTTTACTATTTTAATGTTTTTTACCACTTATGAGTTGTCAATTTAAAACGCCTGAGATAGTTTGATACACTGAGATGAGCTTGTTAAGCGTCAGCGACAACATTCTCATTGCTTTGGGACCTGGTGCCAAATGAGCAGAAGAAACGCGACCCATGCTGGGGTTTCCTTGGAGCACAGGCATATGTGGTGGCAAAGGCTGCTTGGTGACGATGCAAAGATAAGGAGTTTTGTTTTGTTTTTTTTTTTTTCCTAATGCAGCCAGAGGAGATGGGGGAAGTTCTGTCCAACTTCAGAGATTTTCAAAGACAGTCCAGAGTGTGTTTGGGTTACAGTGCAGACCATCTGCCTGGGGTCCTGGAGAGGACTCCTGGGGTGACACTTGAAGGCAGGTTGGGCCCATGATGTGGCAGAGCTGAAACAACCATGTTAGACCAGGACGCAAGAAAAGACCACTGACTCCAATTAAAATCAAATTAAAGCAAGCTTATTATTTCGACCGGCTGGGCTGCCTCTCCCTCCCAAAACCGTTGGAACAAGACAGCAGCCGCAGCTTTCCTGCAGCCCAGCTTTATGGCCCAGAAAGTTACACAAAGGGGGGTTACAGATAACAGAACTCTGAGGAGCATCACACTAATGGTAGTTTACATTTTTGCTGGCCCCAACATCAAAATTTATGAGGATCATTAGAGCCTCAGAGAGGGTCATTATCTGGCCAGGGAAGGCCAATATTTATGAGGTGTCACTAAAGTTTCAGAGAGGGCTGCTATCTGGTCAAAGAGTCAGGCATGGGTGAATTCAAGGCACGGGCAGGCATTCCAAGCCAGGTTCAGAATTTGCAGTAATTTATAGTAAAGCCAAAATTAGCTTTTCATGGCTTTGTGGCGAGATGGCTCCCAATTTTGAGAGAAAATCAGGTTGGTTCTATCACCACCTGGGACATTTAGATTTTGTCCTGAGGACAGTGTGGAGCCAGGGACATCTGGAGCAGGAGGGTGCCAGGTGGAGGGCACTATTAGAGGACAGGTAAAATTGGGGACAGAAGAAAGAAGGAAACCAAGGCAGGGGAATGAGGTTCAGACTCTGTTATGCTCGAATTCGGGACACCCAAAAGACCACCAGAGACCAAGATCGATGTAAGCAGCAAAGAGGCGTTTATTGCTAGCTAGCTCGGTCCTCTGCACACACACAGCAACTGGTGACACTGAGAGGGCCCCGAGCCCAAGGTTTGCAGCAGTTTTATACACTCTTTGGGGAAGGCAGGGACTTCACATACATCATAG